AAAATTAATTAATTAAATTTGAATATGCAAATTAAAAAATTAAGTTTTAAATAAAGGAAGTAATATTTCAAGGTTAGTTTGGAGATTTAAGCGGTGCCTGGAACGTGGACTTTCGTTTGTACTTTTTCCGAGGACGAAATTGCCCGTAGTTGGTAAATCGTTGTTAGGGGAGGTTGGGGGGTAAATAGTAGGGAGAAGTAGGGTTGTTTTGGGAATTGCAAGACATTTTCTATTTGAGAAATGATAAATTAAGAATGTACCAATATAGTATAGTATATTTTGTCTGGAAATACCACGGTGTCAAAGCTCTGGTTAAGGTTGGGAAAGAGAGGAAAGATAAAAAGCAGCTGCTCAGTCCCCATGTGGATCCTCTTGGCCATCATGATAGACTCCTTTTTCTCTCTCTTGAAAAAGTGAGAAAATTTTTGTTAAAGATGATAAGAAAATTGTTACTTTTGAAAGGGAATTGTATGATTAAGCAAAAATGAAAACGGAAGTTAATGCATGATTAACATCAAGGGTTGTCCATTACCTATTTTCAATATATATATATATATATATATATATCAAGGGTTGAAGTCCTAGCCGCCCCTTCCTCCCCTTTTCTTCCTTTTGGTCCCCTTATGTTGCTTTTTTCTCCCCTCCTTTTTGTCATAGTAGATAGTGTTGTACCCTATTTTCAAAAAAAAAAAGTAGATAGTGTTGTACAAATTATTAATTTTAAGTAATCAAGGGGTATATCTCTTTAACAGTAACAAAAAAAAAAAAAAAAAAAGTAGATAGTGTTGTACAAATTATTAATTTTAAGTAATCAAGGGGTATATCTCTTTAACAGTAACAAAATCAATAAATTCAGTAGGATTTGTTGATTTCTCCTTTTAAGATCTTCCTTTTTATGTTAGAGTTTTGCTCATTTCAAATTTAGGTATTTTCTAGCTTCTAATTAATCTCCATGTTTTTTAATGAGGTTTTTTTGATATTAATAATTAAGTATTTGCAGAGGAAGAACGAGTTCAAGAGTGCATTGAGTGGCCAAAATAGTTCTGCTAACACTTTCCTTGTGAAGAGACTTTGAGCATGTTTGGTGAAATTTTTAAAAATTTTATTTTTTTTATATTATTTATATTTTATAAATTTAAATTTTTTAAAAACTTTTTATATTTTTAAATTTTTTATTAATTTTGAAAAAATCTTAAATAATGAATTTTGAAAATTTTTTAATTTAAACTTTTTATAAATATTTTTTACTCACTTCTTACTTATTTTTTATTTTTTCAAAAATAATTTTTAAATTTTTCTTTCAATAAAAATAATTATAACTTATAAACAATACTAAAAAAAATAAAAATTTGAAAAAACTCCGTCAAACATGCCTTTGATCCCATCTCTTATGGCAAAGAAACATAAATAAGGTTTTGGAATTTGAGATTTGAATAGTGGATTAATGGATAAAAAAAAAAAAAAAAAGGGTTGGTGCTGACAAAGGTAAAAAGAAAAAAAAAATGTACTTGGGTTAATGACAGGAGGAACATTTGGAGGGGCACGTGGGATCAAACTTGAGAGAGGACCAGAAAATGTGTTCGTGAATTGTGAAGTGGTTTGGGATGTTGATGGGGGGAAAGGGACACTTGAAGTGGACGGATTGTGATTTGAAACGGTGTGGAACAGGCCCCACCTTACTTAGCAGCCTGCCTAGTATTTCCTTTTATCGCTTCGATACTTTCTACACTTTCCACCATCCATGTACATGTCTTTCACCTGCAAAGAAAGATATTGAGTTAGTTGTCAAACAAACCTTAAAGGGAACCCTAACTATCAGATTCAGTACTTATAAGTAATGTTATTAAAATTCGAGAGTTTAAGTAAAATTATTTTTTATAAATAAAATTAAAATCATAAAATTAAATTAATAAAATTAAAAATTTATTAAATTTAATATATAGTATATAAATGAATAAGTTATTTTTATTAGTTTTTTTTTTTGAACAAATTGTCAATGGGTGGGCTCAAAATCCACACATAAAAGAGAAAGAATACGCTTCAAATTGATAGGCTATCAGTTGACTCGAAAGGTCAAATGCAAGTTATTTTTATTAGTTTAATATCACCTTAAAAGAGAAAAAAAATAGATGTTCGGTTTCTAATATTATGGTGCAAGTGTTGGGTTAAGTACAAATAATTTCATTTCATATAATTTTTGGATATTAGTTACCATGGACCAAGGCTCACAAGCTCATTCTTTTCCTTTTTATAATATTTTCTCCAAATTGTGGGATTTGAAGATCCCAAACGTTGGATCCAACTCATGCTGTCATACATCATTTGCTCTTTTTATTAATAAATAATAATCATTCATTTTCTTCCTCATCAACATCTGGGAATCTGTGATTGTCAACAGTGCATTAATTAAGCACCCAGATGGCCAGATCTCAAACCCCCCCATTCCAACTTTGGCCATATCACTGTGATGGTTCTTATTGGTCGTCAATGCCGGCCCACCTGCCCGCTCGCCCGCCCTCGGCCATTGTTGCTGCCGCTAAGCTCTTCTTCTTTGGCCGGCTATGAACGTGTGATTTCATTCAATTTTAAGCGATTTAACGATTCCAACACGAATTTACTCCGATTTCATGTGATTTCAATTTTAAGTGCGAGTTGACTCAAAATCAATACTTATGATCGCTAACTCATGCGATTTTACGAGTTAAATAGCGAGTTTGACAATAATGCTTATAAGTACTATTTATAGCTCATATTCATTTTGTAAATCTTAATACTAACATTTTTAAAAGAAACGGGGTATTTGGATTAATGGTTTGTTTTTAAATTTTAATATTTGAATTAAGTTAATTGAGAATTTAACTTTCATCAATAATTTAAAATTTTCTATTATTTCATAATTCTCCATGTTAAAAAAAAATATTTAAAAGAATTAATTTTTTTAAATATCACAAACTGATGTAAAAATGTGTTTTTAAAGTTATTTTAAAAAAAATTAATCTTAAAAATATATAAAAATTAGTAATAAAACATCCTAACAATAGATTTAAAAAAAAAAAAAACACTCAAAGTGTTCTTTTTTTCCATCAAGTTAAGTTGTTGAAACATTTTTTAAGATTTTTTTTTTGTATTTATTCTTAATTATAGTAATTTATATCATTTATCCTTGTACTTACTTATACTCAACATGAAAAAAAGAAAGTTCGTCATAAATGATTAATACTCTTTCTTACAACTTTGAGTGTTGGAGTTTGGTTATTGTTACATAAAAATATTCATGATCACATAAATTTATATTTTTTTTCCTAAACAACTAGTTATGGTATATGAATATATCAATTTATAAATTGATTGTAATTTTTTAATCTATATATATATATATATATATAATGCTACCCTATGCATTAAATAGGGTAAGCATTTTATATTCACCTTTTGACTTGCTTAAATGGACATTCTTACATCTTCTTGAACAATTATTTCTTTATGAATAGTTATTTCTTCAAAATTGATGGCTGCATGATAAGCAATAAAATGATTGTTATGATAAGCAATAAATTTATATATAACTTTTGACCTGCCTAAAGGACGTTGTTATATCTTCTTAACAGTTATTTTTTCAGAATTCATGGCTGCAAGATAAGCAATAAATTATGATTGTTATGATAAGCAATAAATTTATTAATAAAAAATAACTGAAAATAATTTACCAATACCACAACTAAACCGTATTTACCAAAGACGAAAAATCTAATCCTTTCAAATGTTTTCATGATTGGCATTTTGCCATCCTCCAGTTTTCCTTCTATTCTTCGTGTTTAGGGTTATAGTTGCTTGGATTGCATTTTCTCAATATGAATAGGTATTTGATTTTAAGCACCAATTTCTTTTTTCTCTAATTATGTTACATTTTCTCTTTAATTTTAAAATATTTTGTTATATAGAGGTAAATCGATTGCAAGAGATCTGGAATATGTATTTCTTGATCAACTTTCACCCAATAAAGAAGATTGGAAGATTAAAGTACGAATATGCAAATGGTGGGATGTTTTTAGTTTAAAATGTGATAGGGACTATCTGACTACTGAAATGGTTTTCACCGATGAAAAGGTAATTTTTATAAGTTATTACATTTATTTTTTTATGTATTTAATGAATTTTATTAACAATAATTATTTTTTTGCAGAAAAATTTTATTCATGCTATCATTTGGAGTTCCAATGTTCTACGATTTAAGAATAAGTTGGTGGAAGGAAATGTTAATTATGTGAAAAAATTTTCCGTCGAAAAGAATAAGGACACTTATCGTGTTGTCTCTCATAACAACTACAAGATTCAATTTCACCTTGATACTATTGTCAAAGAAATAATTGAAGAAGTTGCAGAGATTCCGAGATTTGTATTTGAACTCACGGATTATGAGAAGCTTCTCGAGAAAAGGAACAAATGCCTTTGTGGTATTTTTTTTTTAATTTTAATATAATTTTATTAAATGAATATGTGATTTATTTTTATTTAAAATGCTTTTAATACAAATTTAGATGTTATTGGAGTTTTGGTTGGTGTTGGAACTCCACAAGAAAGGCAAGCAAATGGTAGTAATGTTACTTGCATGGAATTACATATTGAATATCAAAGGTAATTACATATTTAAATAATTACATGAAATCTATTTAAATTTCATTTTTCTTTAATTGAATAAAATATAATACTTGATCAATTAATTATAGATAATTGTTTGATATTGTTTCTATTTTATTGAAGGAAAAACCGTTTGAATGTAACACTTTGGTCTTCCATGATAAATTAATTTGAGCAAATTAGATTTTCTAATTACTCAAATGTGGAAGTCATTATATTCACATCTATGATCGTCAAGGACAATAGAGGTAAGTATATAATGAAATTTATAATTTTTTAATTTTTTATT